TTTTTTACAAATAAAATATATCTCGAAAATAATGTTGCATATTTATTTAATAAATATTTTACTCTAAGAATATTTAATTTAAATGCAACTTAATAAAAAAAGTAAAAAATAAATAAATGTTTTTTAGATAATAGCAATGAAAAATGAAAATCACTAATAATAATTTGAAATATGTTTTTATTTTAATTTTAGTTAACTCATCAAAATGATGTGTCATCCACATCACCTCATTAATGCCACACAAGCAAAAAAGTCAAAGGGTTAACCGGTTTAAAAGGTAACAGGTTACCCATTGCTATTATAGGTAGATTTTTTAAAGTACAATGTCTTAATAAAAAATAATTTGAAAGTACATTGCTGTAATAAAGAAAAACAAAAGTAGAATGCTATAATAAGAAATTTTGTGAAAGTAGGTTGCTATTTCATGCATTTAACCCTAAATTAAAATATTTATGAAAAAATGATTAGGGTTCATTTATTATAATTTAAATATTTCTGAAAAATGAATAAGATTCATTAATTATGATTAATATTTTATTTTAGAAAACAATCAAAACTTCTATGAAATTACATATTCATCAAATTAAATGGACAGTTGAGATTAAGTTATATTGGTTGTACAAATGTAAAGAATTATATAATAACCCACCTCTCTCTCTCTCTCTCTCTCTCTATATATATATATATAGGAGGTTTACTTTGCAACCCACGTTATTTGTACAAACTGTATTCAACCAATCATAATTTTTCATTTTGTTCATTTTTTTGTAATTATGAGAGGTTGATTAATCATTTTCATTATGAAGGGCGTTAATCATGGATATTATCATCTTCATTATTTTAATTTTAGAGAAATACATGAAACAGTTTCATTAAAATTTCATTAAGTATTATATGAAACAATTTCATCAAAAAAAGTATTATATGAAAAAAAATTACAAGATTAAACAATTTCATAAAATTAAACAATGAAATCAACGGATGAAGGTGATTTGCACGGTTTATAGAGATTGGGTAGTTTGCATTTGATAACTTTTCACTTTCTCCATATGGGCCTAATCTATATAATATGAAAAGGATGGTTTACTTTACAGTGAAAATGAAGATTTTAGTTCCAAGACTCCAACACAACACTAGGACATAAAAACAGAGGATAAAAGAAAGATTATGTAAAAAGTAATAAAAGAGAGAATCCTAATGCCATATCATAACACAAAAAGAGTACAAGATATCTAAAGTTTCCCAAATTACCCTTATAGCATGTAAATGCTACTTATTAACTCTAGGTATACAGAGCCATCATCATCTATTAACAATATCACCATTTTTGTTCAATAAGATACCAACCCTTTGGAGTAGCGGTCCTTATATATCGTATTAACAATCGAAATATGGTCATGCACCTCCAAACAAATCTAACTTCCTGCTCTTCAAATGGAAGTAGACCTACCCTCCAAATTACTGATTAACCAACTTGAAGAATGTTGGCATACACCATTCAGAGTCAGACACTAAAGATAGCTTAATTTTTGCCCCTTATCTTTTACATACATAAACAAAAAACCCTCTATTTTTAGGTCATTTTACATTGTCATCTATTAAACATGACTAAGCCAACAACTAGCTTGTCAACTATAGTGTCAAACGGAGCCTAATACAAGGCGTCTTCTAAGAAGCTAGCTATCTGGAAACGTTAAGTCATATCGGGCTTCTATAAGAAAACAAACACGTGAAATCGATGCAACTAACATTAACTAAAGAAATATGCAGCTGCAAAATTTTATTTGGTATCACCATAGATAATCAGATCTGATATTGTACACATAATTCCAACGAAATGTAGCAAACATTTTCACTGGAAACTTGTCAAAACTAAGGTTCCATAACAGCCAACAAGACTACTTCTTTAAGCACATATACGAAACTAACATAAACATTATAATTAATGATGATAATTAATCGGAAAGCGAAAAGTGAATGGACAAGAATGGCATGCCTCTTGAGGAGGAGCTATACAAGTTCTTCATGAGCATCCAAAAGCGAACTCATTTGCAGCATTCGGCCATTGCCTGGCAACGAAGGATCCGTGACCGATTCAATCTCAAGGAAGTTGAAATCATAAGCACCAGATTGCTTCAAACTGATGATAAACACAAGAAGTGTCCATCCCAACATAGAAACTGCCCAGTAATTGTTCATTCCATGGATCAAACCCCAAGCGATCGAATACCCAACAATAATCCCAGATAAATGCCCCAAAAAACTTGCTTGTGGAACAATGATTGAAGTAAATATAAGTGATTCAAATGGTGCAAAACTAATGGGAAGTGAAAGGAACCCGAAAAGGTTCAACTTAGATGAGGGTTGTTTCACAGAAAGAATAGTCATCCACCCAAAAACCACACAAGAATACCCAACAGCAGTAACTCTTCGAAAATACTCAATCTTGAATCTATTGATCAAAACATGATAAGCTCCCAAAACCAGCAAACCGGATAATACGACCAATACAAGTGAGTAATGAAGATAATAAGCCACTCCTAAACCCATGTGCCCTAATTGCTCAACAACTCCAAGGCTCCAAAGAGCACTCATATTGAAAACAAGATGAAGAACACTTATATGCGAAAAGGCAGAGGTTATGATCCTCCAATGGTGACCTTCAACAGCAGTTTCATAACTCAAACCCACATGAGAATACCCAATGCTCTTCTTCTGTATATAAAACCAAATTACAGTGCAAATTCCTATAACACAACTAGTAGCGGGTTTTTCAAGGATCTCGTAGAACAACGGTTTCCCCATTTACAAAATGAGGCTAAACAACCATTTAATAATCAGATCCTGAGAAATACCCACCTTATTTTGCTGATTGAAAGCAAAGATCTGTTGTGTATTACCTTGGAAATGATTGAAGTTCTCTTCTTTCTTTGTAGATCTTTAACGAAACTGTTCGCGATGATCGATGGATAGATAGATAACCCCGTTTCACTCCATCTTTACTCTTAGGTCGGTCGGCGTTGCAAATAGAAGAGGTACTTTCTATTCTCTTGGGTGGAAAAAACAAAAACTAGTGTTAAAGGTTTTATAAATTATATAATAAATTACATTTTTGGTCCATGTGGTTTACATTTTAACACATGGACCAAATATAGAATTTACTCCAAATTATGTCAAACGTAGGGATGGTAATTTATCCCGATCCGATAGGAAACCCGGTTCATCAGACCTGAACGGAGACAGGGATTCCCTGCTAAAACGAGTCCCGGGGCCGGGGATCCTCGGTAGACTCAAACTGGGGTCGGGGCTGGGGCCTGGGATCCCCGGTAGAATCAAACTAAGGGATAATTTTTATGGGGATTTACCGGGTTTTGATCGGAGATTGATAGAGGTTTGACCGGGGACCACATGTTAATCCCCGTACCTGCCGGGAAATAGGGCCAGGGCCGGGGGATGTTACTACAAACCGGGGTCGGGGATTACAAAACCCGCCTCATCCTCGCCCTGTTGCCATGCCTAGTAAGACATGTTAAGGGGTCGTAATTTTGTATAAGTTTTTATATGTCCAATCGTACCGATCAAATTGGTATTAGTTATACTTGATTAGTAGTACGTATCAAATATACCATTTTGATTGATGCATGGTATTAGAAATTGTATTAGTATACCATGTTAATATCTTAATAGCGACTTATTTAATTACTTATTAGCTTTTTTTTTCTTATAGTTTTATCACTTATAAAAAAATAATAAATAATTAAATAAGTCGTTATTTTATAGTTTTATGACTTAGACGTTAAATATTCGCACTCTCTAGCTTTTTTCTTTGTGTTTCTTGTGTGGTTGGGTTTTTTTGCTTTTGTTCTCTTTCTATGGATGATTTATCTCCATTGATGGAGGAATGGAAACATTGTAAACTAGGAAGATGCGTGTTCCTAGTCTCCAACTACATACATCGACCATCCTCCCTCATCATCGTGAACTTGTTATGGAGAAAGAAGAAGCTTTTTCTTATGAAAAACGTTAAGAAAAACTTAAATCTCATAGATGGATGCCATATCCTAGTCGTAGCTCATCAAATCGGGATGAAAAATTGGAGACTTGCAGTTTGAATCCTCCTTTGATTGTTTCCCCTCTCGAGTTCAAAGTTGGATGGCAACATGGAGAAGAAGGTCATGAAGATCTTGAAGATGAAGATGCAATCCCCCTCCCTTCCATGATAGCTAAACCAAGGATTGAAGATAAAAATTCTGAAAATGTTATGGAGGAGGAAATGGGGGAAGATTTAGGGGCTGGTATATGTCCTACTTCTAAAGTTCATATAAATTTGGAGTTTAGTCACCCAATCTCCATTTCTGGTAGCTCGGTCCTATTCTCTCATGGGCAAGTGCCTTCTTGCGGTTCTGATCCTAATCCCATTTATGAAAAACCTTCCTTGCATGCCGTTGATAACTCTCCAAGTGAAAGTCATAAAGTTTTGATTCTGGAATTTTGGAAAAGATGAACTTCGTGGTCAAAGATCCAACGATCGGATTTTTCAAAAAGCATCCGATCTTATCTCCTTTCATCTTTTTAGGTAATAAATAATGTATGGAAAATAGGGATGCTATTTTATATTTTTTTTAGTACTCCCATACATGGAAATGATGGGGAGCAGGTTTTGGAAGGTCAACATCCCAACTTTAGTAGCTTGACTCTATGGATTTTAGCCATGTTGCTACTGACGTTGCTGTTTATCGGAAGAGAAAAAAAGGACTAGACCTTTTCCTTGGACAAGACATGTGTCGGCGTTGAAACCTACCCCACATTCGACTCCTTTAAATTGGATAAGGATGGGCCGCAACCCAACTCTATGGAAATTACTTTTTCTGGCAAATCTTCTAAAAGACTTAGTTAGAAGAGTCAGTGACTCATCAAAGTCTGCAAGATCAGACTCTGAAAAATCCTTAGAGTTAGTGGAATCTAACTCCGTTAAAGAAACAGAAGAAGAAAGAGGAATAGAAGAAGAAGATGGGAGTTCAACTGAAGAATCTTCAAAGATCAAAGCTAACGGAGAGCTTTTCATATCTCTGAAATCTTTGATGAGATTCCTCTTTAGTTGTCGAGACTGCTCGTGATTGAGCAGTATCCCATTAAGAGATCTTAGAGAGAGGGGGACATATCGTTGGACATATTAAGACACATAGAATATGTATCCCAAGATTCTGGTAAACATTCCAGAAACTTCGTCAAAGTTTCAGAGTTGGAATATTCTCTACCCACCGTCCTCAAATCAATAAGGTGATAATTAAATCTTTGATGTACTTCAGACGACGTTTCATTCTTTCCATAGAGAAAACTTTCATATTGTCTTATTAGATTTATCTTTCTCGATTCTTGTACTTGGGAAGTACCTTCATATTGAACACAAAAAGTGTCCCACATGGATTTCGAGGTCCTAAGCTTCATTACAGAGTGATAGACCTCGTCAGGAAGAGACATGGCTATTATAGATCTCGCTCGAGTATCTATAACCACCTTTTTCTTGTCTTCATCACTCCATTGATGAGGGAGCTTAGGAGTCTGCCATTTAGGAATCACGGCAGTCATAGCTGTTTCATGAACAACCGAAGATATAGCATATGAAACATAAGGTTTATTCATTATATAATGTGGGATCTCATGATCCACAACTTCCAAGAAAAGAGACATTCGATTTTTCCAGATACTAATGTTGTCTCTTATAAATCGGGAAGGTTTGGCAAGAAAGCCATTATCGTGAAGGTTTGTGCTTGTGTTTTGCAAAGCCATTTGAAAAGTAGTAAATTATCTGGAGAAAGAAGAGATAATAGAATGTAGATAAACAAATAAACAAGACGAGAAGAAAACATTCTTCTGATACCACTTGTTGGTCCTAGCTGGGTCTACAAGAGTTTTAGAGAAACAGTTTGTTGAAGGGGCCGGGGGGGATGAATACAAACACAAAAGACTTTCATATTTAAAAATATATATTGATATAGAAGGATCAATACAATTTTTTTGCAGATTGTTTGTGGAAATAGAAAAGATAAAGATAACCTATCTAAAACAATCTAATATTACACAAAAATATGCTTAGCAAATAGAAGAGATTTGCCAAAAAGATAAAGACAGAAAGATGTTCTTCTTGGGTAAGAACTTTAGAATTCTTGAGAGAAATTCTAACTTGATTGAAGATAAGCGTATGTGTTCAGTAGATAGATGTGTAGTGCATAGAGAGAGCACTCAGCTATTTATACCCATTACATTAAATGCAAATCAGAAGGGTTGTAACACGCGTCAAGCTTTAAGAGGAAAGTGTGTCCTTTGTAACAATGAATAGTATATTTTTCTATTCATGAGCAGACATCCTTTCGTGGAGTTGGTAGGTACTAGAGTCGACTAGTCGCCTCCGTGCTGTACTATACTCTTGATAGGGTATGGGTTTGTCCTTTGTGTATGGAAGGACAAGACAAAAAAATCGTGCATGGCAAGCTTCATTTGATCGCTGAATGTTGGAATAACACTGGAGGTCTCTTCAGCATTCACCGAGGCTGGTGTAGTCTTCACACATATGTTCACCAGGTTGTAATCACGGAATACCGATTCAGATCACGAACACTTCAGTCACTAATCTTCAGTTTCAGTCTTCGACATTCATTGAAGGTTCTTTGGTATGACTTTTGTCTTCTTGAAGTATTGTTGTCGCTGTAGGTTTAAAATGCGTGTTTCAGCGACCACTGAACAGACTCAGTGATGATCGTTGAAACTGAAAAGACAGAAACAATAATACTTCGAAAGGTAAAAGAGATTATCATCAAATCAATGAGAGAGATGATCAACACCAGATATTATATAGCAAAAACAATAACAAATTCGCCAAAGGAGAATTAAAGTTGGAGAAAATGTATAACAAATTTCAAAAAAATTAAAACTTTTCAAAAGTAGGATACAATTTTTTGATTGGGAGTAAGAACCAAATTCCCCCCTTCCATTTAATAAGGTAAAAAACATGTATATTGAAAAAATGGGTATTTTTGAAAAAATTAGGTGTACTAAAAAAGGTGGTCAAAACATAGGACACATGGCGTTCTCTGTTTGGGTGGTCAAAGAGGTGGGTCAGCCTTGGGGTAGGCGTGGGACCCACAACATTTTCACCAACAACGAATTAATGATTTGGTGAAACATGTGTCGCTATTGGTGTAGGGTGGCAGTCAAGTTTCGGCGGTACGGTCCACATGTCTACATGGTGTCAGAATCATGGTCACATATTGTATGCTTATTGGTTGCTTTATTTTTTTGGGCACTATACTTTCTCCAAGGTTGGTTGTGATCCCAGATTATCAAGTCTTTAACAATCAATTCATAATAAGATCAAGAACATGAAGATGATTTCAATATGTCGGCTTGATTGTATTCCAAAATGTAAGTACAATTGTTCTTGATCTCTCAATCTCAATCTGCGTATGAAAATGAATCTCTCAAGATGTTAACCAACTAACGAAACTAACTACAAACTATTTATACCTATTACCATAAAAGGAAACAATACAACTAACAATTACAAAGCATTTATAAAACGGTTTAAGCACCGGGACTTGAATATTACATTTTGTTCCAACATTGGCGAAATGTTTTGGCGAAGTAAATGGCATTTGGGCAAATACGTTTGAAAATGGCTATTTTGTTAAATATCACATGGCATAATAGCTATTTGAGTAATTGTCCCTTAGATTTTAATTTCTAGGATATATATAGGGATGTTCAAAACGAGAACAATGTCAAAATAAGAGAACAAGAAAATGGCCAAATCACAAGTGATTTTACATGCGATTATGGAAAACATTCAACGCAAGGATGAGTGGACGATTTGCTCTGTGACCTCAGGTCTCGACCAAAGTCACATGAATCACATATGATTCAGTTGTTTTCGTGTTCTCTTATTTGGTTATCTCTCTCTCTCTATATATATATATATATATATAGCGGGTGGTTCAAATAAGAAAACTAAGTATTATGAGAATGTAAAAACTAAAAAAAGAAGGTTAATGTG